CCCCAAAACCCCAAAACCCCAAACTACAAGATTGCTTTATAAAAACATTATAAAAATACTATATTATTATTAAAATGAAAAGAATCATAATTTTATATTCAGTCCTACTTTAACTCTAGCTAAGCTATAGTGCTAATTTTCTATTAGATTTTACACAAGCAGTGCCAGGTGTGTCAAGTTATAAGTAGTCTTCAAGCTCTGGCATTTATTTAAACTATGATAATCTTGAGATTAAATGACCTATTGCATTATTCTCAACAAACAAATTCTCACTCTAAATACTGTATTATACTTCACATGCAAATTCTTAGTATATATATTCAAGATAAGACTCAAACACATCACCACATGATATTTTCTCAATTTCAGTCAATCCTTCAGGTCATTTCTAAGTCTAGCTATATCTTTGGACAGGAAAATCAAAAATTTTTAACACAAACTTGAGATAAACAGTAGGTTGGAATTATATAGTTTTTAATTACAAAGCCTATGGAATCGGAGCTGATGCTATATTCTCTTTTGATGTTCACACTAGAAATAGCAATGAGTCTCTTAAACACTAGTCATAAATATATTACTAATAGAAAGATATATTGGATAAGGTTCGAGATTATTCAAATAGTTATGAATGCTTTGGACATTCAGGAGTGAATCTTTTAGGATAAATAACAAAAAGGCATTTAAATGGTATTTTAAAACAAATAAAGTATGATGATGGTGTGAATTTAGATTAAGGCCAAATTGATTCAAAATACTAAAGTAAGGACTTCTAAATAATAATTATTTTTGTAGGCTTTGATTTAGAAACAATAATGAAAAATGATATGAATTATATAGCTTAATTGGATTTTCAGACTCTAGACTCATAGAAATAAGTCGTGAAAGATCTCAAAGATGTCACAAGTTTAAAGCCACTCGGAACTAATTTTCTTTATTTAGGTGATGATTCATTTTCTGAAACCACAGATCCATTCTAGTAAAAGTCATTAATTTTAATAACTTTCATAGTCTTAAGAGTGTTGGAGTACTATCTAGTTAGGGAAGATATCTCTCAAGAGAATCGAAAATCGATCCAGCTTTTGTGATTACCAATTAAGAATATTTCACTATTGAAATGTGGATTAGGATTAATAAAAATGATAGTAATAATCTCACTAGAGGAAATCATTAAATTTTATTTGGTAAAACTTAAAACTCAGTGGCAGTATCAATCTTATGGGATATAGCTATTATTCTAATAGACTAAAATTTAAGGATAGTAATTAGAGATAAATATTGTGATATATATTTACCTGAGATTTAAAATCAGACCATTGCAAATATAACAATTCAGAACAGCAAAAGATCAATCAATAATGTATGGAAAATGCTAGCATTTACTTTTATTAGAGAAGCGAGTAAATCAAGAACTTAGATAGTTTTGTATTTTGATTCTCAAAGGCCTCAGAGATATTTCATAGATAACATATTTTAGGATTAAATCAATTCGAAGATTTATGTAGGAAAGGATTTTAATGGGGCCTTTAGGTCATTAATAATTTACTCAAGGTTTAATTACTAATCACAAATTAATTCCACAAGTAAAATGGAAAGCATTAGGAATAACTCATATGAATTCATCAGTTAAGGTATATTTTATATTTCTGATTAACAATTAAGGAGTATAATAATGCAGGAAAATATTTGAAGATCCATCAAGCTGTGAAATATGCTCAAATCATTAGATAACATCAATTTAAAATAGATGCTTCTCCTCTTGCTCTTTCAATACTTATGATTCTTCTTGCTATTGTAATAATATGCTATGTTGAAAATATAGAGTGCAACAAAAGATGCAAATACTGTAATGGTCCTTTGAATTCTGATTGCTTAGAATGCTTAAGTGATGGTAAATACTCTTAATAAACCTAAGATGACAGATGCTTAAGCAACATCGGGTTTTATTTCGACAAATAAAAAAAGGATTATTCTGAATGTGATGATAGGTGTTTGATTTGTACTGATGACTCAAATAAATGTGATATATGCAATTATTTTCAGGCCAAAAGATTTCCAGGTCAAGCTTGCCTCTCTGAATGCCCCTCTAATTATTATGACAATAATGGCTTTTGTTAGATTAATAAGGACTCAATAAAAATGTAGTATAAAGATTTCTCAAAAACTTTCGAAAGTTAAAAGCATTTCTATAAGTAATATCTTAATACATGTGATTAGGACTAATATATGCTTTAAAATGGTTCTTGTTTAAATTGTCATGAATTACCCTCTAAAGAATCTAAAAAGATTATGAGATATGGAATAAACAATGAATGCGAGGAAATTTGCGGAAAGGGATTAAATTATGGATTATTAGAATGTGATGATGGAAATACATATGATAATGATGGATGTGATAGTAATTGCAGAATTGAGCCTGGATGGACATGTTCAGGAGGTTCTTATCATACCCAAGATATTTGTACTTACTCTAGAACTGAAATTTTGGAAATGAGTTATATAGAAGGAAGTCTATCTTAATTTAATATAATATTTTCAAGGAAGATTTATAGCTAATAAAGTAAGTTTACTTTAATTTAAATACTGGTAGATGTTGGTACTAATAAAATATTTGAAATATAATTTGAAAAAATCAACGAGTATTCTAGTTTTATAGCTGATAGAAATCGAATTCTTGAAATTTAAGTAAATCTCATAAGTTATTTATTAATTTTCTAGAATGAGCATAGTCTTGATTACCATTTATTATTTATTTCGAAAGCTTAAAGCGAGCAGAATGATCTTATAGTTATTGAAATTCTTGGTATTTTAGAAATATTTAACTCTAATTCAACTTAAATGGTAATCTTATTATTTTATCAAAGAAATAGAGGCTATTTATAAATATGAAAGATTCGAGTGAGCTAGTTGATCAGAATGGACATCAAATATATCTCTAGAGAAAATTTGAATTTTTATTGCCTGATAGCTGGCTAAAAGACTACATTGAGTACTAGCAAAGATAAATACTGCATACAATAAGTTTAAATTAAATTTTTGGCATATTATATTCTCTCACAATATGCTTAGTATTTCTCTCTAATTTTTATCTGTAAGATACTATTTTTCATTTTATTCTAGGAAAAAGACACAGGCCCCATTGGTATTAATAATATTATATCAGCAAATGCTGTTCTTGATCTTAAGATTTGAAAATGATGTAAACATTTGTGAGATAATAAGTTATCTATCTCTTTACTATATTGGTTTCAGATCAAATCTTATAGAATAGCTAGTGAAGCAAAATATAAATTTCGAAAAGAAATCTACTGATTATGAAATGCTAGATACTAAAGATCCCTTGATAGGATTATAGTCCTTAAATATCTTTGTAAATTTGAGATATCAAATAGCTTTATGGTTGCTCTATCTTTTTATTCTAGTTCCTTTACAGATTGGAGTTGGGATTATCTTTAAAAGCATAATGAAAAGATCTTATCAATAGTTTTAAAATGCTTAGGGCCACAAATACTATTTATCAATGTTATTGAAGGAAAAGATAATTTTGTCTTAGATCTTTTAGATATTCTTTGTTACTTTTATTCCAATGAATGTCATTACAATTAGGACAATTATATTAACTCTAAAATAAGACTTATTGGATTAAATAAACTTGATTTACACATTGCTGGTTTAATTATTTCTGGCTGTTGTTATACTTTACTTTGAAAGACTTAATTCAATGGTAATATTGTATAACTGGCATCCAAAGATTAAAAAGAGATTTAACTTCCTTATCTAGAGTTTTAAAAATCAGAGATCGGCTAATAATTTATTTTTAGTGATAAGCTTAAAGACTATCTTATTAATTGTATTTTAAGAAATTTGTACAGACTTATTATATTCTCACCTCTATGTTATATTAACTTCTATTCTTGTAATTATAAATATCTTAACTTAAGATTAGAGTATTCTTTGCCTAGTAATTGTTAGACCATTCAAACTTCTAGAGAACAATTTTTTCTGCATGCTTTTAGATACAAATTTGATGATTATTTCAATATTTTACCTTATTTCTCTGCCCTAAAAATGTATTTTTTGTTTCTGTTGATTATTTTAGATATATTAATTGTACTACTTGCGTAATCAGGATATGTATTGCTTATAATTATAATCAACTCCTCAAGGGGAATCTATAAGCTACATATCTGGAATAAGTTTGGAGCATTATCTGGAAAACAAGCAAACTAAATTTTAGACCAGAAACTAAAAGATCTGTTGCAGAAGCAAAACTAAAAGGAATTTGAGAAATAAAAACGTCTTAAAGAAATTCCCAGTTCATTCCAAGCTAATGATTCAGAGCCAATATAAACAATACTTAACTCAAAATAGGATATATTAGATGATTAGGGCTTTCATAAAATTATAATCGATAATAATTCTCTAGAGCTTTAAGAAGTTGAATCTCTTGAATCAAATAATGAATCACTAAAAAATACAAATACTAATCTATAATATGGCATTGATAATTAGAGTTAAGGAAATCATTAAATTGTAGAGCCTCTAGATGAATTAGACAATTTTAATCTTAGCAAATTCTAAGATTTAAAATATCTACAAGAGGAGAATGTACAGCAGAAGTTTGTGAATAAAAGAAAATCTGTGATTCAAAAGCAAAATCACAGACTTAAAGCTAAATAAAAGTAAAGCAATAACTATTATTACAATTTCAATCATAAAAAGTCATTAAATGACAAATTTAATGAACTTGACAAGACCGATGAGGCTTATAGATTTGATTAATTCTGAATTAATTTTAATCCTAATAAGAGTAAATATTTCTTAAATGGGGTTTTGGGGTTTTGGGGTTTTGGGG